CGGGAGCCACAAATTATTACATGCATAAGCGAATTTCCGGTCGAAAGAGTTTTGGTCGATCGCAAAGGCATCGCAAATCTTGAAGGGATTATTGCAAAGTTTGTATTGCTTTAGATGCGTCGCAGGTCTCGCGGTTTGTTTTTCTCTTCCGTTATCTTTCCACCGCATATTTTTTAGCAATTCCATATACTCGAGGCCCATTAACGGTTCCACCGCTTTGATTAATACATGCGCATTCCCTTCTAAACGTTATTTAGTATTGTAATACTAAATAATAACACTAACATATCAATTGGTGATTTTCTTTTCAACTAAAAATATATTTCGAAATTGTGAAAACGCGATATTCTCTCTTTAAACAGATTTATTATAATCTTCCTGTATGTTTTTGCTATTAATAAATTAGGGGATAGTACCCTTTGCTTTGATATTATTTTTATGGCTTTTATTATTTTCAACGATTGAACGTTAGTGAAAGTAGGATGTATTTTAATTCTTCATACTTAGAAGTAATGAAATAAATCGCGCGCGCGCGATTTTTTACTCACCTTGGCTAGAGATATTAAAGCAATGGTATATGCCATATGTCATGTAAATATAAATAGTTCCTGGTGACATGTACATTGGCAAGTTGCGAGGTGTAACTCTGTTCTGGTAAGAATGTGAAGCCTTGTCAATCGCACCTAAATATCCTTCAGTCTCTACAATTCTACCCTTGAGGATAGTTCCATTCTCGAGATATCTTACAAGTACTTTTCCTATCGGAAAAGGATACATTTTTTTTAACGAGTACATAGTTTGTATTGTAGCAATATAATAAAACAGAATAATAGGGAGGAAGGTATAGGATATTTTTTAAGTAACGCCACATAATTTTTTAAAAATAAAAATAAATTTTTAATAAATATAATGTGCAATATTATTATTAAAAAAATTAATTCTATGCACCTAACAATCGCTGTGCCAGTTCTTCGCAGGGAATGTCAAAGAATTCATACTGCAATCGGCCAGAAGATAATTCCTTCTCCCATGGTGTCATAGGAGGATCTTCTAATTGACTTAATTCCAATTTCATCATCTGCAAATCCACGACTGTTCTCGGTTTTCTTTTGCTAGTATTCGTATTTGATTTCAACTTTTCCACCTTCCTTTCATTTCCTCCTATATAAATATTATAAATGAATGTATTTATAAAAATAAGTTATTTAAAAAAGAGAGTGTAACTGACTGATTAATCTTAGCTAACTTTCAATATGAGTTTCCATTTTTGGCTCTTTCTGAGAATTCTTGGATCTTTTAGAGGATGCAGAAATTTGAGAATCTGCCGTGTTGTATACATTTTCAGTATGCCGATATTCCTGATTTCGTAAGGACTTGAGGTTCAATTTTAGTCTTTCTGGTGTCACCTAATGAAAAGCAATAATACTGAAGCAAAAATATAATACTATCATTAAATAAAAAAACACCCATAATTTAAAAAAAGCTGTATTGAAAAAGTATATACATACATAAATAAGCTGCAATTTGTAAACTATTTATATAGTTTATGATAGAAGTCAAATATTCAGAAGAGTGTACCTTATCGTTAAAAGTAAAATTAAATTAATTTAATCAATTAATTACTTAATATATTGTTTCAATACCATATCTAATTTATTTTAAACAATAAAAATTATATAGGCTCTAATGAAATATATCAAATAAAAATAAAAAGCTTTTGAGAGCTGGATGTTGTTGCGATTAAAATTTATTTTAATCGAATTATTCTTAAAAAAATGTTTTATTTTCTCAGATATATTAGAAATAAATGAGATAGAAAAGTATCGTCGTCTTTCTTGACTTTTGATCTGAATATTTTTAGATTTCTGTGAAATAGTGACTCCACTATTTATCTGTGCAAACTTTTTATAAAGTCTCTTTCTGAGAGATAGTGGAAAAAATTAATGCTGGCGGATATCCATTTTTCAAAATAATTTTAATGACTTCGTAAAAATTTTTTGAATGAAATCTTGAATGGGCTAAAAGAAGAATTCGATCAATTACACCTATTATAATATAAGACACGGAATTTTTAGATCTCCTTATACACTACTTTAATTTCTAAGATACTTGATACACACACACACATACACACTTCCCCTTCTTCTTTAGTTTATCAAGTATCTTGTTATATTGACGCATGATCTCATTAGATCCATGATAAGCATGCTGTCAACGTCGCATGATATGCCATCTTTTAACTGCCATGTAAGTTTTTTATTTAATTACCTTTAGTTTAATTTTCAATCTTTATTTCGTTGACTCATGTGTTTACTTGATGTATTTGGAAATTTAATGGACATTATTGGACATATATAGATCCAAATTGAATATTTCATTTAGGTACATCTTATCCACAGTCACATAACGACAAACAAAATAATTTTTGTAATCTTAAACATAATTTAATGATCCAATTGTGTATAATTGTAAACCAATTTTGTATATATTTTATTTATGATTTTAATATAACTGCTGAAGAGGATTCTAACCATGGATTAAAACGTTTAATTGTTATATACAATACGTTATAATTGCAACAACATCCAGCGTTGGCTCTCAGAGGCTTTTTATTTAATTATTTTAAAAACTCTAAAATTTTTTTAAATAGAGTTGTTTATTTTTTTTTAATTGGATGATTCTTTCTCTACTATTTTTAAAAGGAATTTGTAGAAAATTGTAGAAAATTGTATTTAGCGACTACGATACAGAAAATGGAAACAAACCAGCATTTAGATCTTAGTATAATTACCGTATCTTCATTATCCTTATTCTTCTCTATTTTATTCTCCTGTTGAATCCTAGTAGCTGCTCTTGTCCGTTTCATCAAATTGCCTTCTGCCACGAATTCAATCGTTTCGCTACCTCCAATGGCTCGAGAAAGAATAATTTCTACGCGAGACAAGACAAACCGTCGAATTGTAAACACTGCCACATTACACAAAGTCATATTCAAGCCTTGAAGTCATGTTCAGCCGCTAAACCAGTGTACACTTTTGAAACTTAAGTGAAATAGGTATATGTTTGATATTTGTCAAAAGCGAGAAAGAGACTTCTAGTGCAGGGCTGCGTTCAGAATTATCATCTGGGTGCACTCAGATGTTCTTTTGTCCTTGTTTAACATTCATAAACATCTGGGTGCATCCGAACAACGATTCTGAACGCAGCCCAGTCTAATGCAGGAATAGAAAACAGAACACGTGTCATTTTTGTCTCTTGTTGGAAGAAGACTCATAGCATATTCGATTTACTGACTTGGCCCGACTCCGAGTCAATAGTCTGTTCTGTTTAGCTGCAAAAGAAGAGCTAAATTGTGTAAGAAATGCAGCTAAAAAGACCCTACTGTCCTTGTTTCACGTTTAATGGACGATGAAGAAGATAAGGCCTGTTTTTTTGGCTGAACTTTTGCTTCAGTTCATCTTTTTTCCTTTTCTCTCCAGGAGGAAAGAAGGGGAAAAAAAATGAACTGGTGCAAAAGTTCAGCCAAAAAGGCCTATAGAATGACAAAATAGGGCTAATGGTACGTTTCCACTGAGCGCGTCACGACGCGACTCTAAAGAGAGAAAGAGAGGGGTTGTGTATCTCTTTCGCGTCGCGTCGTGACGCGATGGATGACGCGACGCGTGACGCGCTCAGTGGAAACGTACCATAATAGCGACTCCCCGAACCCAGCCTGAGGCAGGTTGTATATAAAATATACAACTATAGCTAAATTATAAAATATAGAGCTAAAACTTATTTTCTATGAAGAATTTAATTTTGAATTGTACATATTTAAATATTTTATCAATGGTAATAAATTAATTTTTTTCTAATCAAGGATATGGCTGACGAAGAAGAAATGAGTACAAAGGCAAAGCTTTCAAAATTACATTGTCCGTTTACTTGGGAAATATTGGACAGTCTGGTAAAACATTCCTTAATACATCAGAAGCAAGACGACGAAAATGATGATAATGAAATAGATGACGAAAGATCTTACTCCTTAGAACAATTGTTAATATCTTTGTTCAAATGTTACAAAGCTTTGTTAAGTGCAGATAACGACGAAGTAACAAAAAGAATTGAAAAAGCTGAAGAGATTTTAAAGCAGATTCAACAAAAGTATGATATGCAACACTTATTTTTGATGTACAATACGTATTATATTTTAACATTTTATCTATGTTATCATTGTATGATTGTAGGATAGAATTTAATCAGGTAATAAGAACAATTGAACATGTTTTTTATGCTACAAAATGCTTTATTTTGTATGATGCTGATGATATAGATGGACTAGAAGAGATATTGCAAAATGTTATTGATCCTAAAGATTTCAACGATATAGAATTAGGTGCGTTGTATGGCTGTCAAAGTGTTGTATGGTCATGCTTAAATGATTTTGGTATGCACAAAGCAGTTGACATGGCTAAGAAAGCAGTGGAGAGGGATCAAAATTGTGCATTATGGCATTTTATTCTGGCAAAGAATCTTAGACGTCAAAGACGTACAATAAATGTTGCATTTAATGTATCAGATTCGGAAAAAACACATTTTGAAATAGCATTTGCTATATCTAAGAATGACAGATTTGGAGTATATTATTTGCAAATGCGCATTGAAAGTTTTGACAAATATAATAGAGATAGAGTTTATATGATGAGGAGAAATGCTAATGAAAGAGAAGTAATAAACATAGCCAAACGAATTTTAAAAACAAAACCAACTAATAATAAAGTGCTATTACGACTAGCTCTTATGTTTCTACGTGCATCCTCGGATGAAAGATTATTTGCAAAAGAATGTCTTGATGCTGTATATAAAATAACGCCAAATAATTCTACATGTCTGCATTATACTGCAATATTATACGAGCAAAGCGGAGATTATAAAGTTAGTATAATATAATATTATTGTACTATTTAGAAGAAATAATAAATCTAATTAAATTTTATATTTTATGAAAAAAATTTAACGATAATGAATAGACAAATATGAGTTATGCATTACAAGTATATAAAAAAATGTAAGATATTTTTTATACTTAAGCAAGTTTTTATTTGTTGAAAAAATATTTTTACTAACTGTATTCTTTTCCTATCTGTGCTTGTTACTTCTCATATTTATCTGTGAATATCGGTATAGTTCAATGTTTCGAATATCATACCTTTTTTTTAAATTATATATATTGCATTTTTAGGAAGCCTTAAAGTATTTCAAAAAGGCTGCCGAATGTAATAACTTGGTGGCAGAACTCGCCTATATACAGTATGGTTGGGAAGTAGGAGAGCTGGAACCACTACCACATTTATTGCGAATGTTGAAGAAATATGACCAGGTAGTTAAAGAACGGCAAATAGCTATACTTTTAGCTATTGCTGTAACTTATTATTCTTTGCATAACGATATACTAAATGCAGCAGAATATTTTTTAAAAGCATTTAATGTGGATTCATCGAGCAACAAATTCAAGGTATTTAGATATAAAGATCGAAACATATGTAGCTATAATATTTCATAGTCTGTTGTTATTCTGCATTTAAATTATCTCGATATATTTTTATTTGTAAGTGTCTCATAAGTATTATAACTTTTGTTTTTTTATGATAAAAATATGATTGACAAAAAATATTGAATGGTATAATGTAAAATTTATCTTTATAAAGATTCACTCTTTCGTAAGAATGCACTCAGAAAATATAGTTACATATTTTTGTTTTTTAAATGGAATCTTATTTTATAACATATTTGTTTTTTCGTTCAAAGTCTTACAAATTTTCTGCGTCTAAAATTATTCAAATTAAGAAATTGATTATATATTTTCTAATATATTTTAATACAAAATGTAAAATATCTTATAAATTATTCAATTTTTTATTAATATTTACTTATGGACAAAAAATCAATTTATGTAAAGAAGGCAGCTGCTTTTTAACAAAAAATTTAATTACATACACAATTATAAATTTTATTTAAATACAATTATATTTTTTTATACCAATTCATCTTATTTCTGTGGATGAAACTACTAAAATCATTGAAAAATAAATATTTTTCATAAGATATTTTTTATATTTTATATTAAAATATGACAGATTAAAATATGAGAGATGTTTCAATCAATCAAATTATACAATTTTTGCATCATTAAAAGATAGTGTTTATAAAACCATTTAAATTTTTTCTGTAGTTTTTCTATTTGTGCACGCGCGCGTTTGTATACATATATATACATATAGGGTGGCCATTGAAAACGAAACAGACGGAATAACTCCTACAAAAATTATTTTTCGAGAAAACATAAAAACGGATTGATTTGTGTGTTGGAAGGGCATCTTTTAACATATAATTCTTGCCCTTAAGTTCGACTCCCTAAGCGGGAGTGCTAATCCCTAAAAAATTTCAAATGTGATAGGAGGTCAAATGATACATCATTAAAAAAGTCTTTCAATTTCCTACATTTTTATGTTTGATTTTTTAAATTCGATGTTGATAAAATTAGATTTATTCGACGCGTTTTTGTACAAAAAACAATGGAATCTGGCAGAAACAATCGTCAAGAACTAAATTCCACAATTACCAAACTTAAATTAAATATTGCATTTAAACTTTAATGTCATTATTAAGAATGTATTTCAAGATTCACTTCCGGTACTAAAAAAAAATCCGTAGTACGTAATGTGAATTAGAGATTTTCAACTGATAGTAAGTACCGGAATGCAATCTAAGATATAAAATATAAAATATTTTTAGTAAATAAAAATGAGAAAGTAAACATTTTATAAATGTGTTTATTGCAAATAATAACCTTTATTATACATAATACAATGTTAAATTGTAAATATATACTTACACATTTAAAAATATTTTAAGTATTTCGCCATTTGTATTATAACAACGACACAATTTGGGTAATTAGAAGTACACTTCTAGGAACACAAAAATGAAACATTTTTCAGCGTCAGCAATATCAAAATATGATCCAAACCGATCCATCCAATAAAAATTAAAATAACGATAAAAGAACTGAATCGTTTTACTGTAAAAATATATATATTTAACGACGTTACCGTTAAAGATAGAAAAAAGTAACGATTGTTACCGAAAAAACGTAACGAAAAAAGTAATCGCGGTACAAGTAATGCGTTATTTTCCAACTTTATAACTGATTTTGAGAGCTTTTCAAAGCACTATATAAAGTTATTTTGTATTAAGGCTTCTAAGTAGTCGCTGCAGTTGTATAGGATTGTGCATGATGTTATAAACAAGAAATGGCACGTTGAAATTTCTTGCATGCTATTTGTAAATAAAGATGTCTTCAGAAATTGTAAAATCCGCAAAAGTTATGAATGATTTCATTTTTGTTTTGATTTTGTTTAAAAACGCGTACTTTCTGTGATATATATATATATATATATATATATATATAAATGTATAAAATAATTATGAATTCAAAGGTTTTTGGGTGCAAACTTTTTAAAGAACCATTTTTTAAATTCCTATTTACAGGAAACTTTTTGTTTCAAATTAAATTTCCTATAAAATCTCAAAGTCTAGCCAAAACATTCGGGGACACCCTATATATTATCTCCAATGTTGGCAAGGTCATAACTCTGAACATTTAAAGGTGACCTTACATGATCAATAATATTGTTAGTATTAACAAATATTGACAGTATTACTGGTCGTGTGTGATTAATATTGATGAATTGACGTAGGATGTAAGATACTGACGGTTATCTAGATTTTGATTCTCAAGCATCCAGTAGTATTAAGATTTATGTCACAGTATATTACAGTGTAATAGATATTATACGTAAAATTAAAGTGAAATATATTGTCCATAATACTGATCGTGTAGGTTGTAAAAATATTAAAAAGATTAATGCATACTGTCAATATTATTGATTCAGTATTACTCCACATGTGCACATGCGCTTAATAATAGACTATGAACTTTCTTAAATTATTGAAATAAATTAATCCTTTTTCTATTTTCTAGACATTTTACAGATTTCTCGACTTTGATACCTCTAGTATTGTAGATTTTTTAAACCATTATTTTTGTTATATTCTGAAGAGAGAAAATTCAAGGTCACATAAAAAAATGTTTGAAGAAATAAGAAAATACTTGGATGTGCAGGAAGTAATGGAAGAATTGTATGCCTCTGTAGACTTAAAGAAAAAACATTCTAATTTAAACACTAAAAACTAAAATTAATTAAATATTAATAAAATATGTTATAAGTTATCATTATTTTTAATATATTAATTCGATATTTTGATGTCAATTATAACTATATATTTGTTCATTATACTTTAATATTAAATAGATTGTGAAACTTACATGTAACTTTATGTTAAAAATTATAATATTCATATTATAACAGTACCAAGTAAAATATATGTTTAATAATAGTTGAATATTATATTTATATGAATTTTAAAGATGAAAATAAATCAATAATTACTATGATTCTAAGTTGACATTTTTCTTAAGACATTACTTAAGATGGTCTTAAAAGAATCGATTATGAATACCGGGCAAAGAAAAATCAAGAAAACGAAGACAACGGTCATCCATAATAAACCTCAATTGTTCATGACAGTTATTGAATTTATTTAGTTATTGAATTTATTTATTATGGATGACCGTTGTCTTCGTTTTCTTGATTTTTCTTTGGCTGGTATTCATAATCGATTCTTATTTTAAGACCATCTTAAGTAATGTCTTAAGACGCTAATGCGGTCCTCTGATTGGTTCGTGACATCTTAAGACTGAACTTAAGGCGGTCTTGAATATAAGAACTGACTATGAATACGGCCTTTGATCATCAAAGATAACAAGATTATTACAGACTGATTCCATAAAAATCTTTCTCGTTATTTATCGTTTTATTTCAATCACCCCAAGAATCATAAAATAGAAACCACCTAATAGACCATTCTATTTTACTATCTCACCCTATATTTTTAAATAAAAATATCGAGTTGTAGTGCAATCCCATATGGTGCGGAATTGACGCACTGAACTATATATACACTGGAATGGGCATCTCCGCTGTGAAGCATAAAAAATCGTGGCCGCAATTGATCAACCGCCATTTTGATTGAGTCAAATATTTGAGCGAATCAGAAGTTTTCAGGTGCTCATGCGCACTTACGTTTAGGTCCGTTTCCACCAACGCAGATCAACTTTAATCTCGGTTCAACTTAATCTTTGTCTTTTTCTAGTTCTAAAGATCAGAAAAAGACGAAGAGTAAGTTGAACCGAGATTAAAATTAATCTATATTGGTAGAAATGGGCATTAGTGTTCTTAATAGCGTTTTCAGCCCGACCGGGTTTGCACCAACCTGGGTTGGATTAATGGCGTTTTGCGCTCTCCTATTGGTAGAGCGTGTGACATCAACCAATAGGAAAGATTAATCCAACCCAGGTTGGTGCAAACCCGATCGGGCCGAAAACGCTATTAGAATAGACGCATATGGCATGTGAGACGACGATCGTCTACCGACGTGATCGGACGTGTTATTGCGTCATCATTTTTGGAAAGTGTGACCGGCTTCAAACACGCA